AAAGGTTTTGTTTTGATAATGCTTTAATTGGTATTATGTGTGCTCCCTATGTTATACCAGCTTGTGGTTAAAAGCAGGATTGAGTTTCACGGAAAATGCCATTTTTAATAGGTATTTGGGCTTAGGCCCTCGAGAGGGGGCAACAGACTAGTGTATGGAAGGGCTGGGTTCCAGGTTGGACTCAGTCTCTTGAACATCTGTCCAACGCTGGGTCAAGGTGTCAGCAGAAAAAGGGTTTGTGTCTGGAGAAAATAAGAGCATGTCTTTCAACCAAACAACTTGACAGGATTAGACCTTGTTTTGGATCCTGTTGAACAGACTTATGGCTTCTTACTTCTGATTTCTGGAGAGAACTAAGGACTTTTAAACAGAAGAAAACCATTCTAAAAATGGCAATAAACTATACAAAGACAAAAATAAAAAAAAATAGTGAAGCTGAAACTGTAATTCAGCCTTTTCAATCATCTTTTCACCTTTGAGTGTAATTTGTTGGTGTCTTCCAGCAAAGTCAATTTTATATCCAAGTGTACCCACAAACCTTGGATTTAGACAATTAAATGATCTAGTCATCACTTGCTTAGGCCAGAAAAAACCCATCTGTGTGAAAAGAAGTGCCTAACAACTCCAGTATTTTAAAATGTTTTTGAGTAACCCTGTATCATGGCAGTTAAAGTAGTTTTTGAATGTCAAAAGAAAATACTAATACATTTTTAACATAAAAGGTTCTAAAAAGCTAATTTCAAACAGCATTTGTGTGAATGTGACTTAAAAATGCAAGTAATAACGATAACCCGCTGGTGTTGCCTGTAGCTGTATTTTGTTCTTTGTGTATAACACATGCAGCACAAAGGAGTGCTCCTTCATAAACTGGCTTCCTTAGCAGAGCGCTTTGCTGTATATCTGATCACCTTTTTTTTAAAGTAAGAATAGCCCTGCAATAAGACTGTGTTATGGCTCTCAGTATTTTTTCCAAGAAAATTTGAATTTTTAGCTTGTATATAGACGATCTGTCAGACCGGACCACTACCTCTTGCTCTTTTCTCAAATATTTCAAAGATTTCCCTAATCTTTTTGGTAATCATACGCTAGCTGTTTACAAGCTTGTACCGTTGTGGTGGTTTAACTCTGGAAGAGGGAACTGAGAGGAAAAAAAAGTCCAAGTGCAGATGCAATTTCAGGGTGCACAATGGGAAATAAACCTGTTTGGCTGATGTCAAAGGAGTTCTGTGGTTTAACCTTCATGCTGAAAATCTAGCTACAATAGAGGTAGTTTGCAGTGGTAACTTGCACAAAAATTCTATTTAATGTCTTGCCAGCAATAGCTGAGGTGCGCACTTCGTTCTGGCAAGCTCGATGAGTCGTTGCTTTTCTAAAAGGTTGTCTTGGAGAGATGAAATCACTGTCAGTCAAAAGTTACATGGCCTTCACCTCTTAATCTTGTTTTCTCTATGGTTGTTTATGGGGGTGTTATATTTTGCCATAAGTTTTACATTATCATGCTTTTAAGACAGTTAGGGCTATGATCACATACCCACCTGAGGTTTGCCCAGCACATGGAGGAATTTTTTCCCAGCCCAGGCAAGTGTGGAAGTACGTACATACCTTTTGTACCTAGGGCAGCCATTCATGTCGTCGTTTGTGAGGAGGAATTAGTGGGTGAATGTAACGGTGAGAAAACAGTCGCCAGGGATACAGCATTGGGCACGTCATGCAGTCAGGATTCACACTGAATTTGGGGAGAATACTGTGCCTGTGGCCGGCCGCAGGGTTTGAACCTCGGAGGCGTTGCTGGTTCGTAGCAGCATGGTTGTCCCACGTCTAGAATTTCCTGGCCAAATAACAAAGAAACCTTCACTTACAAAGTCCTCTCATGAGGGAACTAGGACAGGATCATCAGATTGTGTACACTTTGTCACAAATAAGTATATGCAGCAGGAAAAATTAATTGATAATTTCCTTTGTAACTGTGGCAGGCCCAGGCCGGACATCTCCCTACCTGAGAACTTCAGCAAAAATGAAGCCAATAGAAGAAAGCGTTGAAGATGACGTCTTTGAAGCACCATCTGCTGATAAGCTTGAACTCCAGCGGCTGCCTTAAACAGATGTGTGTCCTCAGCCTTATCAGAGCTTGCACAAAGCTCCAGTGCAAGAGGAAGCAGCAGCTTGAATTTGGGTGGAATCTGAAAGCTAAAACCACCTCTCCATGTTTGAATTTACCACAGCATATGTCAGTGGCTTCTAGATGGAAATGTCACATTTTATTTTACTTCTAAATAAAATAAATAAAAACTTGTACGGGTTTTATTTTTGTTTTCTGCACGTGGGTGGTTGCCTTACTTCTACTTTGACTTTTGCCATTATAAATTTAATAAAGTGGCTGACTAGCCGGAAATTTCTAGAGACTTATTCGCTGGAGAATATCCCCAGTGTCGTTTCCCTAAGTTTCTTAGAAGCCTGTATCTTAGTGTTTTTCAATGGCAGATTTTGAAACTATGTTTCCAAAGCCATGTTGCTGCTACCTACCTTACCTCATTGCTGCGAGAGTCTCATGTGAAATAGTCCGTGCACTCTTCTGCGCCTTCTAGTAGGTATTTGCCTCTAATTCTGGCATTTCCCAACCTGACTGCCTGACTCTACAATTGTAAGAATGACTTCAATTTCAATTTTTCTTGGCCAAATAATTAAATTTAATGTTGCCTTTCCAACCTTAACCTTTTTCTTCTTTAGGTAACTGTATTACACTTAAGTCTATGCTTTTCCTTAGTCTTATCCACGGAGTGATGGACCTGTTCTGGATTAACCTTTCCACGCAGCAATATGTGAGGTACAAATGACACTTGATGTAGGAAATTCAGTTCTGGGTAGCTGCACATACAGTGAAACACAGTCTCATAGTGGTAGCTTCTTCTGTGCTTTGACAATTCTTGAAATCTGTTATGCAACAAACAGTATATTTTAACTAAACATAACAGAAAATAGATAAGATTTCATTTATTGAATTGGACAAAACTCTGGTACATACAGTAATAGAAGTTTGGTGTAAACTCTCAAGCAGTCGGAGGTGTCAAAAGTCTGGGTCTTGCTGGTTTGTGTCATTCCATTTTATTTCCAAAATTTATCCTGACAGGGCATCCTTGGATCAGCCTGCATCTGAGTTACGTAACGCACTTACTCCCTCCTGCGGTGTCCAGACGCACGGGGAAGCGATGGGAAGTTTGACTGGTGGTGTCAGCCTTCCTGCTTCTGTGGAATTTAAATCCACTGTTTGATATTATATTGATAGGTCTTGTGGTTGGGTTAGTTTTGCGTTATAAAAAAAAGTCACACTGAGGTGAGACGTGCTTACTAATTTGTGTAAATAGATGTAAAATACCTTTAGGCCACATGGCCAAAAGGTAGCACATTATCTTCTGTTGGAGTTGTAGTTTATCTAAATCTGATTTAATGTTATGAAAGTCTTCATAGGTAGCAAATAGGAAGTCCTCTTGCAGCTGTTGTAACAAGCCCAAGTGTTAGCTGGAACAGCTTTCAAAACCACCGGTTTGATAAAGCAAAATGATAGGTAGGATCAATTGTAAATCTACTGGGGTACAACGGATTCAGCAACTAAAAGATAAATGCATATTTAAAATTATACCACATTTTTTGTAGCTGACTGTTAAATACTAGTAACTGAGCAGATGACACTATGAACAAAGATAGAGTAGACAACAAGAAAACAATGTATTAGAAGACCATGAAATGTTCTCCATGTAATAAAATGTGTACTAAAGGAGATGTATGCTCATAACTCTAGCAACTGCTTGGTGTAAAGTTGTGAACTTGTTTGAGTGTTTTGGATGTCCTGTTTCTTTTAACAGAAGAATACTTGCAGAACATTTCAATAGGATAAATTATAGAAATAGAGACTTATTTAGGTTGTGACCTCTGCAGGTCATCTGGTCTTAGCCTCCTGCTAAAGCAGGGTCAACTTCCAAATGAGTGGAAATGTAATGATGGAGACAAAAATATTAACAAGTGCTGTTACAGGAAGATGGCTACATGTGAGGATTCTATGTGTAGAATGCTTATCTTCCTTTTAAATTACAACACAGCCAGATTTTGTAAATAAAACAATTCTGTATGTGTTTGCAGATTTTACAAAAGCTGGTCCAAGTAGTTGATTATCAAGCCATGCAAGTAAAGCGATGGTGAGAGGCTCACAGATTGATGGGTGAAGGCTTCCTTCCTCAAGCTCTGCGTAAGAAGTGATGTTTAACTCCCGTTCCAGAGAAAATGATCCCTGGGGATAAAACACATCAGTCAAAAGAAGGATGCTGATGCATGATTTTTAGTGGTTAGGACTAAAAAAAGTCACGTAGCAAACTCATTTGACCATGCTGAAAATACAGAAGCCCTGGTCTCCTCCTCCCTGGATTGCCAACGAACATAGGGGGCAAGCGCATCATTGGTTCCATGTCTGCAGGACGGTGGCCGTATCTCTGCGGTTGCCTCTTGGCTACTGGGAGAGTAAGAGAGGAAATGGGAATTATTTTACTTATAAGGAGATACAGGGAGCCGTGGCCTTGTCCTGATGTAATTTTCCCAAACTTCTGCTAGTTTTCAAACTCCTTGAAAGAGGAAAACCAAACTAGTGGAATAGAGCTCATACAGCAGTAACCAGAAAACCTGGAGTGACTGAAGTTAAATAGCATTTTCCTTTCTTCTTCCCTTTCCAGCAGAATAATTTCTCATGTATTGTTATCAATTCAAGCAATATTGAATGCCTGAAGAGACTTCATCTCCTGAACAGAATTTCTCTTAAAAATCAGGGAGGCCCTGCAGGAGCAGAGCTCTGCGTACCTGCTGTGTATCCCAGCCTCAGGACCATAAACTCTTGTCTGCTGTCTGGGAACAAGAGCCAAGTCATCTTTACGCCTGCAAAGCAGCACACATGCTAAGGATACTACAGGGATAACACTGCAAATAATAGTAAATAACTCAGTCTACCAGAAGCAATACATTTTATTACTGAAAAATATGTAACTGGAAATTTTAAAATTCCTGATGAATGGGTAAAATTAATAGCAAATAAGTTTACTTGATAAACACGACTTGCGAAGCCTGTTTACCTCTGTTCCTGCTATTTGAAATAGAGTTGTTTCTGAGACAAAAGAAGTTAAAATATAGCGTAGCCTGCTTTTCTGGATTGAATGGGGCACCCCTTTCCATTGCCATTGCAGAGGGTAAGGAAAAGCGTAGT